TTGAACTTCTTAAATGCTCCAGTTCAATCAGTTCTTGTTTATCATATTCCATTTTATTCTTTTTATGCAATTTTTTTCTTTTCTTCTCGCTTCACGGTAATCTTCCATGGCCCCTCGAGTATGGTTCCTTTGCTGCATTCTCTTATATGCCTGGTTTTTTTTATTTGTCACTTGCTCACACTCTGCATCAAACCAATTCTTATACTTTATCCTTTCCATTCTTCCTAAGACTGCACCAGCAGCATTTATAATAACATCTCTGAGGCCCCTCCAAGCTTCACTGACATCCTCACTATCAGAGAGACCTGCCAGGCATTCACCAAATAATCCAGTATATCTGGTTGCAACTCCTTGTTCCACCAATTTTCCACAATTCAATTTCTTAGCCTGGGATCCATGTATCTTCCTTGCATTAGACATTCGACTTCTAATCTTTGATATTATTAAGTAATGATCAGAGTCAATGTTGGCCCCCCTGTAACTCCTGACATCCATGAAGTCTGAACAATTAGGATGTGATCAATTTGATTAAACACATTTCCATCAGGGGATTTCCAGGTTTGTTTATGTATATCCTTATGATTAAACATTGTACTACCTATTACCATGTTTCTTGAGGACGCAAAATTTATTAATCTCATCCCATCATCTTTTGACTTGTTATGTAGGCTATGTTTTCCAATAACCGATCTATATACATCCTCATTCCCCACTTTGGAATTCATGTCCCCTATGATTATTTTACAATCACTTTTTGGACATTTGCCATATATTTCATCCAATTCATCATAAGAGGAGTCTTTCTCTTCATCACTTTTATCTTCAGTTGGGGCATGTGCACAAAAAAGGCTACAGTTAAAAAAACTTTCCCTAATTTGTAGCCTACATGTTCTGTGAGATTTTGCCTGTAAGTCTAAAATAAGATGCTTCCTTTTTTTATAAACAATAAAACCTGTTCCAAACATGTGACTCTTCTTCTGACAGCTATAGAATACAACATAATCCCTCTTTTCCTGACTCCTTTACCCAACCACCTCAGTCCTTATATCGCAGTGATATCTAGTTTATAGCTATCTAGTTGTTCAAGTAGCATTTTTAGTGCTCCGGCTCTGTAAAGAGATAGTACATTCCAAGATCCAATTCTCAAATCCTTTAAACATTTTCCAGGTCATCCTGAATAGGTCCGTCCGGCTATTCTTTCCTCGGATTTCTGAACAATTTAGTTTCTACAGTGTGAGGTTGTTAGCCTCACGCCCAACCCCAAACCTGGAGGACCAGGCTATCCCTCTCTGTCTGGCTCCTACCCCTTGACATATCCAGCATGGGTGGCCCTACCAGTAGCTATGCTACCACCGGCATAGCTCTCAGGGTCTCAGGAGCTCTCAAACCCACCACCACGATAAGGTGGAGATACCATTGGTGGGGACATTGACGGTAATACCAACCTAAAAAGTGCCCAACATTATGAGGACAGCCTTGGTCACCCCACTCTAAATACTGCAGATGCCACACTCCCCTTCCTCGGCGAGACGACGTGTGAAAGAGTTGCAACTTGGTGGTGAGACAGTGGCCAGTCTCTTGTGAAAACTGGCGCCACACTTGAAACTAAAAAACAGATTTAATTAAACTTAATCAAAGAATTTACTGCAATATCCACAGAAGGAGAACCATTAAAATGTAGTTCTGCTGTACAAAACCTGAGGTTCTCAGGGTGGCGACCATGCAGATTGTTGTCCTCTGCAACATGATACCATGTAGGTTTGCAGACTGTCCAAGGTAAATCTGGAGAGAGAGGCAGCATGTTCCTCTGAAATTATGGTGCCTACTTAACAAACCACATGCTGTCACACAGCACCTGATTGTGATCTTAGTATTCATGCTGCTGTGGTAAAGCTGTCCCAGTGCTTAATTAATTATGCACCATGCAATGAAAATATATGCAACCGCTGAGGTATAGATATACCATTCTTAACTTCAGCACTTGAAGGAGCCAAGCTGTCAGTTTCTCACCCCAGCCACTTTACCCCCAGAAAAAAAAATCCTCGGTACCCAATGGAGAGGAGACTCGATGGGGCCCAGAGCTGGTCTGGACACTGTGGAGTAGAGAAAAATCTTGCATGGGCACCAACTTATGACAGTCAGATATTATTACTATTATTATTATTGGATGGGGTGGGTTTCCCCATGCACCGCGACCAGTTTGATCTACTGTGCGTCCCCCTATAATCTTCTACCAGCCTCTATACCCTACCGGTACTGGTGCTTACCATCAGTCCCTACTTAGGCAGCAAGGTTGGACTCTACTGGCTCAGAGGAATCTCAATGCTTCCCCCATCCACCAGAGGAGTTAGAGACTACTGTTGGGCGGGAAATGTCCTTAATTTAGATCAGTGGCCTCCTTTGGAAACATGAGGTTCTTTTACGTGCCGTAAAGCTACGACACGGGACCCACGGCTTAATCCCTCCCGGAGGACTTGTTCCCTGAATTTTTCTGCCCTTCAAAATTCCACAACCTCCGCCGGGTTTGAACCCGCGTACACAGTCAGATATAGTACTGTACATAGCAGTCACTCACCTCTCCAACCTCTACACACCTCTCTGCCAGCCCAGGACAGTACACAGTTGACCCCTCTTCCTGTGCTCCGGTCAGCATTACTACCAGGTACACATCTGCTTCCCAGATCATCTGCCAGAAGCTACTGACAGTAGAAGGCAGTGGTCCCTGAGCAGCAATGTAGAACCTCTGGTGAGTGCCAACGGTGGCCTGCAGCACATCAAAACAGTTCACTATACGTACTCACAAGAGGGGGGAGAAGAGTAAGAAGAATAAGGGCACGAACTTGAAGACACAGATTAAGAAGGGGGAAGGCAATAATGAAGAGGAAGAGGAGGCTGCTTCCTGATACCTCGAGTCTGAGAGGGATACGTTCAAGTCCTCAGAAAGATCTGAAACCCTAATATCTGAGGCCACAAGTGCCATGTTTTGGGAAACTGCAGCAGGGGTGCTTATAACAATTTACAGAACATTTAAATCCAAAATCTGAGGTAAAAGAAAGCTCTTCAAAGGGAACACCCAAAGTCAGAGTGGTGAGACAGAGAAGTATGGTCATGGGTCTCACAGGGCCCAGAATCAAGAACGACTGTGTTGGAATAGACCAGGAGCAATTTACCTGAAACCAAAACCAAGCACCTACAGGATCACTGACTTATGTGGCATAAGAATAATGTCTACACTACAGACTTACTGTGATATGGGAAGCATTTATGTACCCGAACTTGTTCTCTCTGTTGGGAGTCAACCTCACGCGGTTTTCTTCATATGGCAGTACATCTTTGTACCTGTAAGGCAAAATTTATTACCCCTTTACTTGGAGGTGATGTAAGCTGGGATAGCGTAATTGGTATAGAGACTGGCTACGAGCTTGACGACCAAGGGATCGGAGCTCAAATCCCAGTAGGGTCAAGAATTTTCTCTTCTCCACATCTTCCAGACCAGCTCTGGGGCCCACCCAGCCTCCTATACAATGGGTACCAGAGGCTTTTTCTCTGGGGGTAAAGCGGCCAGGGCCGTGACACTGACCACTCAATTCCAGCTAGTGCCGAGGACAAGAAAATGTGGATCTATACATCCAGTCCCCCATATGCCTTCATGGCACAGTGCTTAATTAGTTAAGCACAGGGACAACTTTACCTTACCTTGGCAGTGATAATCATATACACCATATGTTTTTAACATTAAAGAGCTGAACACATACAGGCAGGATCTGGTATGTTAAAACTGTTCTCGGAATGAATTCATGAATGTCACTAGACAAACAAAATTCCTAATGGATAAGTGGGGTGTTATCTGTGAAGTATGAACCAAATTTCTGTATATTATTCAGATGAGCTTTGCCCTTTAAAGGATTAAACAAAACTAGATGGGTGTTCCACAACCTTTCTTTATTTTCTTGTATGGAGGTGGGTTAGAATACCTCCACTGTAGCCCTGCGCGTTGTAGAAGCCCAACATAAAGAGAATCTGGTGCTGGGGGTGTAACGGGGAAACCCTGTTACTGGGGGGACATATATACAGGGACCTGGTCCTCCAGGCTGGGGATTGGAAACAAGGCTGACAACCTTACCGTGTAAAAAAATTACTATTATGAAATCCAAGGATGTGAATACCAGATGGTCTACACACAAATCTGGCAGAACCTTCTGGGCTATTGCTCAAAAAGGGCTGTTTAGCCAGTGAGAATAATGAGATGAAATCTGGGTATGCTATCAGCTGCATCAACAGAAAAACAAGTGGGTACCAGTTTCACAAGATACTCCCAATGACTGATTCTTAATTCTTGGGTTGTTTTACAACATTATTTCAACCATACAGGTTGTGTAATGTCACACAGTAGGGTGCCTGTGAATGACAAATATGAGATGCGGGAGGAAGTAGCTGTGCCCAATTTTAAGGCACTTTCCCATTGTGTACCTCACCCATGTAGTGATATTACATTTTCACTGACTTGCTATATCTGTGCCCTTTAGCACTTAAGAGAGATGTTAGCCATGACCTTTCTCATCATTACAGCCCTTATGCCTGCTAAGTGTTCTGTCCTTACTCTAATTTGTAATTTAAACTAACTCCATGGAGCTGAGCCCTTCCTGAGAAGCTGCCAGCTGTGCAGCCACTCAAGAACTTCCCAACATTTTACGGAACCCAAAGGATCATTACTGTGTTCACAAGCTTGTAATAAGTTATACTCAATTCAAATGTTGAATTTTCTCTTTTTCATCAAGTGCCTGAAGTCCAAATGTGGGTAGATAGGTCCACGCACCTGTTGCGAGCAATGTTATCTGGATGCAATGCTGTTCCAAATTCAATGTTTGTTTTTTTCTTTGGAATCCTTTCAAATTCAAAGAACAGCTGACTGTCTGCTAGCTTCCTTTCCAGTAATTGGCACTACCAAAAGAAATGAGAAGCCAATCAAGAATAGCAACTACAGCCTAGAAGAAAACCAAGTGGCACAGTCAATTACACAAGACAGATTTACATGTGTATGAAGTAAGCTCAGACAGTACAGTGAATATCATACAAAATGGACATTCCTTCCTCCACCAACTGGCTCAGACTGGCTCTGTGGCCTACCCAGCCTCCTATCCAATGGAGACAAGGGGCTTCTTCCCTGGGGAGAGAATGGTCAATGTGGTGTGAAGCTATGTTCACCTCTGTCTAGAGCAGAAGTTAAAGAATGCATGGAAATATACATCCGCTGTACCAACACCACTATCCTGGCTCCTTGACAACAATAGATAAAAATCACAAATTGTGAAGCACTGCATTATGCAGTTTTCCCCATTTCATGTTCCTTCGCCCTGCTAAGGTCCTGGATATTCTCTCCAGCACTATGGTCTCAAATCCTTCCATCAGAAACTACTCCCAGTGAGAATCGAGCCTCTCATAGCAGTGACTATGAAGATTAATGTGTTCCATATATGACATGGTGTATTCTGGCAGATAATTATTAAAATTTCAGAGAAACCTGTTGCATCCATCCTAAGTGTCATTACCATGAAGATGGAGACAGCAAATTCCTCTGAAACATTAGTAACTATCTACCAGGCTGCATTGCATTACATCACAGGTGGCAGTAATATTTCCATTTCCCTATTTCCTACTGCCAATTCATAAAAATAATAAAAACCCTTGTACTACATACCATAGATTCCTTTGATATGGTAGCTGGCAGAGGTAACCTCGGCAGGCCTGTGCTCCGCCTGTTTCCGGCAACATCTTCATCAGCCATCGTTTCCTTCGTTAATGTATTGCTCTTTGAGCCTTTGGCATTTGAACTCGATTTAGTCCTCCCACCCCCACCAAGCAGCCCCCACTTCCTCTTTGGTTTCTGCTTTCCAAAATCCATACCCGAACAGCTTGCAGACGCATCACTCTTATGCACCTGCTCTTCCTCACAGAGACGTTCAGCACCTGTACATAACATACTGTACTTAATGGTTATAATGTTCTGTAATCAACATTTTTTATGTGTGGGCATCATTTAACGATACTGTCGGTACCTTAAGCTGTACAGCATTAAATGGTAGGATGAATGATGAACTGAAAAGGATCTAGAAGGAAGTAGTTGTAGCCTAATTGAGGTACTACGCCACATTTGCCCCAAGGGAATGAGAAAATCCACTATAAAACCTCCGTCAAGATTCAAACTGAAACCTCTGGAATATGATACTAGAGCATTACTGCTAAGCTAACCCATTCAGCGCAATGAAATACAATTTTATCTATTTTAGATGACACAATAAACTTGAGAATATTGATGTCTTCTGGGATGTGATTAGTGTAGTCTGATATTCTGGAGGAGTAGCTTCCATCTTCATGGAGATGCTAGCAACACATTCCTCTGAAATGCCCAGTAACAATCTGCTACACCATGCAGTGTCACATCCCACAGTCGCTGCTGTGAGAACCTCAAACCTCAAATAAAACTAAAATTACTATCTACTAAAATCACGTGACAAATAGATCACTCAGAATCTAAGGAACTGGTCATGTGGGATCTGTGGTGGACGAAGTAGCATTGGAGCAGGTTTCACCTCAAGAACTTCACTTTCACTTGCTTATTTTCATTCCACCAAATGCTCCATACTCATCTATCATCTGGGGATGGTATAATGGGCCTACAAGTGGACTCAGTCTCGCACTAGCTTATGCAACAACAGGAGAATAAACAAAACAACACCCAACCAAAGCATACCTTCTACTGTTGCCATCTTCTGCTCCTGTTTGTAACTACTTGCTAACATACATAATGACATGATAACAACAGAGGAGAAAGACAAAGGCTTGCGTTTATACCTGATGCAAAAGAATTTTCTGATGCTGCTCCCAGCTTGCTCTTCCCTGGGAACTGAAGAGAGGAGGAGGCCATTTTGTGTGGTGCTGGAGGTGTGTGGTTCACGGCAACATGCCTACTTCTCGGTGAGAACTGTTCGGCTGCTGAACTGTGAAGATGCTGTTGCCCCCCACTGCTCTCAGTGCACAATGCTGGCATGATGACACTCATTCCAATATTATGCTCTGCATTTTGTACTTGACATGTCTCTGGTGCCGACTGCATGCTGGACGTCCGACTTCGAGCACCTGGACCATCTCCACCACCCATTAGACCTATTAAATATATCTGATTTTAACAGAACACTTACACTAAACAACTTATACAACATTTAGATGGTTGTCATACTTTGGAATGTGATGCCATGTAGTCTGGTAAATAATTACCATTGTTTTGCAGGAAATGCTACCTCAATCTTCAGGGTAGCAGAACCTGTTATCCCTAAAAACAGAGGCAGCATTTTCCTCTGAAATACTGGTATCTTCTGCCCTGAAGATGGAGACAGAACATTCCTCCAAATTATAACAATATACCAAACTACATGGTGAGACAATCCACAAGAACCTGAAATGTCACGATTCACAGAATTTTGTTTGCATACTGAAAATGATAAAATTAAACAGTGACTAGCCAAAACAGTAGTCCGGGTTCGAAGTACAGCCTGCTAATAACCACAGAAACTGGATGGAATGGCAAGGCCTCAAACAATAAACTAGAGGCATGGATACCCTCTCTCCTTACATCTACCCTCAGTATAACTGCCATTTCTTAGTTCCATCAACCCCAATCCCACTATCCCTTCCTTATATCTGGTCCATATTTTCCCCCAGTTTGCTTACACTTCTATCCTGAAAATGGAGGCAACACATCCCTCCAAGATGTCGGTAATGATCTACCAGGCTACATGGTGTCACATCCCAGAAGACAGCAATCTTCATATATTAACTCATCATCCCATGTGACAAGTAGGAAAAATGTGAATAATTAAGTACCTGTCACTCCACTGCTTCCACCTCCCAGAAATCTGCCTTATCTGCAATCCTTTCCAAACCCTGTTTGCCCACAACATTAACACAACTGTACCAGAGATCTCAGTCACTACTTAAGTTTTCAACATCAGCTGCAATAACCTTCACTATGTCACTTTATCTGTCACCTGAAATTCGAAACTGTTACCTGTCACTCGGCCATCAGCTGCCCACGGAAGTGGAACATTCTCATAAATGGGTTCAGGTGCCCTGCCTGCATACTGTGACCCAGTGGATACAGAGTTCATCGTCTGGTAGGGCATTGTGGTTGATCTAGACCTGTTCTCCAAGAGCAGTCCTACATCACCACTTCCACCCATGCAGTAAACAATGTTAGGTTCTTCTGAGGCCACAAAGGCTCTCCGCAGATCCTCCAGATGTGGATGCTGTTGCTGAGTGTCCAACACTGCAGCCAGATTGGTGTAAGTACGATGTGCTTCTGGATTAGGCAAAAGCTGATGAGAGGTCACTGCTGGATCAATGTAATGATGCTGCTGCTGATGATGATAATGATGGTGCTGATGTTGCTGGTGTCTGCCTGGACCAAGACTCCTTGATGATACCAAGTCTGGGCTGGATCCACTGACCTTAAAAGAACAAATAAACTGTATTGCTGGATACATCTAAGGAACCAGCACGAAACAGCTCTGCTTGTTAACTGCCTCATGCTTATGTGTTAACCCTGAAGATGTCAGTAGCCTTTCAACAGACTACATGTTATATCTCAGAATAGAAAACTCTTCATGACCATTGCCATGAGAAACTCAAATCCTACAAGAGTACACTAATAGAAAACATCACGAGAATTAAACTTTTTAGCCTACTTAATGAGGCTGATGAGATCACCTTGCTGCCTGTCTGTCACCTCCTTAAGTTTTTGTTTTCTATGCAGTCCATGTAACATCAAAAGAAAGTCAGCAAACTTCTTCTGTATGTGAAAAATGCCGTCTTCTTGGATGTGGTACTGTGTAGATCTTGTGTGAACCGACGTTTTGGAGGAACGTATCGCCTCCATCTTCAGGGTAGAAAAATCAGCAAGCGAGGAAGCAGAGTCAGCAGGTGGCAGAGTCAGTCTGCAACCACCTGCTCATGCTGATTCCTCGCTCGTGGATTTTTCTACATTGAAGACTGAGACAATACATTCCTACAAAATGTTGGTTCACACAAGATCTACATGGCACTACCTCCTAGAAGATAGCATTCTTATTAGTAATTGCCGTGATAATACCACATCTTACTTCTTGTGCATGTGTCTACATTTATATATATATATTTTGACTGTCTGAAGGCAGCAGAAGTTTGAGGGTCAGACACAGCTGATCACCTGTGGCATGGTACCCAGGTCCCTGGCATGTTGTGCGTAAAGGCTCTTTACAATGCTAGTTTCAAATTCACACTTGCAAGCAACCACTCCTAGCAGTACCTGCGGGTTAATAAAAGTTGGCTGTGGAGGACTCAGTGTTTTTGATGCAAGATCTGGAGTGCTGTTGCTGCTTGGTCGACTGATGGGGTATGGAGGCGGTGGTTTGTACAGGTGCAGGAGCTGCAATCCCTGGATCAGGTGGTTCTCCACAGTATCCAATTCAGGAGTACTGACAACAGAATGCAACTTAATGTGGCAAAACGGATACACTCACGGCAAGAAAAGTCTGGTTTCAACATCAGGAACACAGACTATGCATCACTTTCTGTTAACTAGATATTACAGAACCTTCATTAGCAGTAACTGGACTTATATTGTAAACGCGACACTGTGCCTGCTGTACTCGTACATGTAGTTGCCTTCATCCTCCTCCTCCTCCTCCTCATCATCATCATCAATCACCATCGTCATCGGCAAAACAGCCCTTCTGAGAAGATTCTTCCAGATTTGATCTGGTTTTCATTTCTTTGGATTTTGCAATAATAATTATTTTACACAGTAAGGTCGTCAGACTTGCATCCACTCCCCAACCCGGGGGACAAAGTCCCTGTATTTATGTCTCCCTGTGCCAGGGCAGCCCAGTTATACCCCAGGCACTGGGATCCCTCTTTGCCACCTTCTACAACTCACAAGGATACAGTGGATGTATTCTAACCCACCTCCACACGGGGATGAACCAATGCATGTGCTGGCACTGGTTTGCAACATATAAAGTAAAGCAAAGGTATCCCTGTAACAGGCTGTGGAGGCCCATATGGTTGTGAGATGTTGAGGTTCCCACATTTTCTAGACAATTGGCTCACATATGGTGGTAAGTTTGTCAGCCCTACACGCTGGCCGCCCTTTACTCCCAAGAATATTTCAAGAATATTCCTGGTACTCATTTCTGTTAGAGGTTGAGTCAACCCCAGGGCCATAGTATGGCTGCAAGGATTAGGTAAATTGAAAAAAATTCAATGACCTCATCAGGACTTGATCCCACGACCTTCTGGTTTGTAACATAGTGCCTCAACCAACTACGCTACCGCATGCCCCACAGTATGCAACACATAGATGACAAAAGTTAAATCACCAGCTTAACACTATATGACATGTCTTGAAACACCTTAAAGGGTACATCACAACCTGAACAGGCAAGCTTATGAAAAGTCCTGCATGTTCAACAAGTTCTCCATCCAGTACGGCCATCTTGGTTCCCACCGTTTTGGAAAGAGAATCTATGATGACGTAGTGACCCATGGCACTATCAGATCATGACACAGACACAGTTTGGTTTAAGGAGCAACTCAGGAAAGTAAGTCTGTACAGAATTGTGGCACAGAGAAGGCAGGACAGGGATTTTGCACTGGAAAACAGGAGTGTGGAGACTGATGGGTTTCAGGAGAAACAATGAACAGGAGATGCGCTCTTTATATAGTCAAGAGGAAGATTGGGGTCACAAATTTAGGCATGAAGAAACAAAGACATGACAATACAAGCTCTAGGACATGAGGTTTAGGTGTATCTATAACAGAAATAGACAGTATGAGGACAAGAGGATGCAAGAATACAAGAATAAAGAGCTATGATAGGAAACAGGTATGATTAAATATGCAGAGAAATGGAACAGGATGGCAACAACAGCACACGAGTGAGGTATAAATAAAACTAGATGACAAGTAATCACTAGAGGCAGTAACAGGATATGTATAACTTAAATCTTAATGCATAACAGATGGGCTCTGTAGTATCAGAACAGCAATTTAAATGGGAATCCACAGTACAGCACCAAGCATTGGACCTCTGAAACCCTAACAGAATCAACACTGTATCAACTTCCAGACACTACAATGTTTCCAGATGTATTTTTAAATTGCATAACATTACCTGTAAGTGTGTAGTGTTGGAAGCACTACATGAGAGTTATGGTCCACACTTCCGTTCATCATCCGTTGTGGTTCCTCACTTCTAGATTCCAGGTACAGTCGTTCCACTTGTGTAACATCAGGATAATGCTTGTAATGACCATACGAACAAAGATTCTGTGAACAAGACAATCACCGTTACACTCCTTGACATTTCTCCAACTATAAAAAACATAATCAATATCACTGTCTTCTGGGATGTGATACCACATACTCAGTTTGTAGTTCATTTATCGTCGCTGTCAGAACTAAACACTATGTACCTTCACATGACTGAATGACAATGAATAATGAACCAGAAACGATACTGAATGGAGCAAGCCTGGCCTAATTTTAAGTACTATCTTCACATTTACTTGGATGAACCAACAAAAACCATAACAACCTCAATCAGGATGGTTGGTCCCTGGCTGAGATTTGAACCTGACACCTCCTGAATACAAGTTATGAGCATTACCGCTTGCACGAGTTTGCTGTGTGCTGAAACTGCAGTCGTGTAGATCTTTACTGATCTTCAGAGGAACCTCCAGCTTTCACAGTTGGGGATTAAGTGAAATCATGTAACATCTAACATATATACATTTCCTTCTTGCCTCCACAACTTCAAATATCTGTGTCATACTTTATTCTATTTCTTTCACAGCCACAACATCCAAAAGTATAGACTCAAATTAGTTTGACTGCAGGCCACTCCATAGCTCAAGCGGTTAGTCGCTGGCTTCCCACCGCGGCAGCCCGGGTTTGATCCCAGGTCTGGTCAAGTGGGATCTGTGGTGGACAAAGTGGCGCTGGAGCAGGTTTTCTCCGAGTACTTTGGTTCTCCTGCCAATCTTCATTCCACCAATTGCTCCACAATCACCCTCACCTATCATGTGGGGCTGGTATAATAGGCCAGAAGTAGCCACAGTACAAGGGACATAGTCCCATCCCACTAGCAATAAAAAAAAAATAGTTTGACTGAAAAACTGAATGTAGCAAAACACGAACATTTTCTAAAATCACGTGACACCGATTATAATTATTTGCGATATTACCTAACAACTCGCTTTTCAAAGACAACTGTCCACTTGAATGTGACACTATTCAGCCTTTCGCATCCTTACCAACATGCAGGAGGACTGCTCCACCAAGATACACGCAGTCACATCCCAGAAGACAGTATTCTTTGCAGTCACCGCAGCAAGATTCTCAATTCTCAACTCACCTCTTGGACATGAGTCTGGTGTATTTCAGGCTGGCTGCTATATAAAATTCCAATTTGATGACTAGGTCTAATGTTTAAATTCCCTGAGGTGTGTCCAGCTCCATGGTACTTCTGTTGCACTGCTGTCTCATAGTCAGGGGCAGGACGGTATGATGGTAACAGGGCTCTACAAACAAACGTGCAACAATGGTGAGTTCCTCAGTGGGTCCAAGCAAATGTCTGGACATACCTCAAATTAGGAAATAACCAATTCCTTCCACATTTCTTTCAAATCCATCATTCACTAACTGTCAAATTATTTGACACACATTCTGAGACATTGGCAGTGTCCTTCACTAAATCATAATCTATATAAATAAGAATGTAAATGTCCATTTGATTCTTACCTAAGATCTCCAAAACTTCTTCACCGATCACTTCGAAATTTTGACACAACATTGCATTCGAACACCCGCCTGTTTCTGTGTGCCTATCATATTGATGTCACACCCGTGACAGGTAAAAACAGGTAAAAACCTGCCATATGTTCCGAATCCAGCAGTCGTTTCAATTGTAACGCTAGAACAGTTAGCGTATACTTCCATGGAAACACAATAACAGTTTTCCGTTGCTAGCATTTCCTAAGCAACGGATGAAACTAACTCTTCGATAAGGTATTCCCTAACCCGTCGGAGCGCTGGCTATATGTATAAGAGAGTTTAGCTTTGGCGACTGTTCAGTATCACGAGTGTCTTGAGTATCACGAGGTCACAAGTATCACAAGAGATTCAGAGTGAAATGACAGCATCCGCCGAGGTATCAATAGCCCACCTTGGACAAGAAGCAGTCAGTCTCGGGGCAGATGCCAAGGGATACGGAAGAGAGCCTGGAGGTAAGCGCTGAAGGAGTTAGTCTTGGGATCGCCAACGCCGAATATAAACAGTCTCGATTAATTTTCATTTTGATTTAATTTTTCGTTTGACATTGCCTTGGAATTGGGCTGTGTAAATGTTCCTTTTCTCTTATAGAAAATCCATGGAAAAGCAATAACAGTGGGCCTTTGCTAACAACAGATCGTGCCCTCTATTGTGTCCAAAACCAGGTTAAAATAGTCCAGCTCCGAAGAGTTTTAAATAAAAATGTAAATGTTCGTTTTTCCGAAAGTTCTTCACCAATCGCTTCGAAATCCAGCAGTCGTTTCAATGGTAACGCTAGAACAGCATATACTTCCACTGAAACGCAATAACAGTGGCCCGTTGCTAGCATTTCCTAAGCAACAGATGACACTAACTCTTCGATAATGTATTCCCTATCCTGTCCGAGCGCTTCGAAATTTTGACTCAACGTTGCATTCGCAGCAGTTGTTTCAATAGCAATGCTAGAACAGTTAGCGTATACTTCCATGGAAACGCAATAACAGTGGCCTGTTGCTAGCATTTTTTTTCTTCATCAGTGCAATCGATCTCCTTTAGTTCATTCAAATAATGCCTCGCAGAAGATCAAACTTGGGTCGTCATACTCGCGGAGCGGAAGCAATGCGTCGAGTAATTTCAAATCAAACTGTGGAAGACCGAGCAGACTGAGCCACAGCAAGGCGTGGCCAGGCACAGCTAGTATATAAATAAATACATAATCAGTGGAAATGTTCATTAACTTCAGTATGAATCTGAAGACATAGTTAGCAACACTTCTGACTTGTATTTGCAGTACCTGGTTTGAATCTCTACTAGAACACTGCATATCCTCATTGTGCATTTTCAGGGCTTTCCTGTCTCCAGAAGAAAACACCAGCACACATTTTAATTTAGACCATGACTGCTTCCTTCCACATTAATTCCTATTCATTTTTCACCATCACCTACTCACTTGGTATTATCCAGTCTGTGTTAAGGACAACTTCACCATTTGGAAAAGTACATGAATGAAGACAATGAATGTATATCTATGAACAGATCAAAGCAATAAGAAAGAACTGACTTTACCTTAGCTTGTCGATGTCTGCAGGTGTAGTAAGGTCAAGGCAAGATGTCGACTGAGCTCGCTGTACTACAGAAGGTGGCATGCCCCAAGACACAGGCCCTCTGCTAGTTTCTCTGTTGTCAAGCTCTTCGCAGCTCTCTGTTAAATGACTATCCTATAAAAATATTGCACAGGTCACATCTTTGAATAACTGCAGCAAGAAATGGAATGCAAAGAGCTCCTAAACTACACCACAATAAATTCTCATTCTTTTTCAATAACATGCACAAAATAAGCTGTTTTTGACTAAACTGGATACGCTGATCCCAAAAACAAGCCAATCACAGTGACTGCGTGGTCTAAGGCATGAACTTTCTTCGCCTGCTCAAACACTGGGGTTGTGGGTTCGAATCCCACTTGAGGCTTGGATGTTTGTGCTGTCCTGTGTGCAAGTAGTGGCCCTGCAATGGGCTGATCCCCCATCCAAGGAGTCCTACTAACTGTGTAAAAATATCAAGAAACTATAAAACCAGCCAAGGCCCAACAAAGGACTGTACAGCCACAGATAGATAGACAGATTTATCCTCAAATTACAAGCAAAAAGTTGTAACCCCATACAATCTTTATGTTATCCTCCAATTTCTTTTGTATGCAAGATAAACAGAAGTACATGCCGCATATAACACAAATTAAAATAACGACATCACTTCAATAAGACCATACTTTTCTTTAACTAATAAAACGCTACTGTCGACAAGAACACTATGAAAAGACACAAAAGTGAGAAAAACACCATTCTGGCTCAAAATTTAATTCACAAACTTGACATGAATAAAAACTTCTGTGTCTAGATTTTGAATCAGCGCATCACAATGACCACAAAAATTCACACCAAAAGTAGTCACCAGGAACAACTAAGACATAGACATGAGGATAATATTAAAATGGATGTTAGTAAAATAGGCTGTGAGGATGTGAAATGAAATGAAATGGCTCAAAACTACATGCACTGGTAGACTGTGGTACTAGCAGTGTTGAACTTGTGGGTTATGCTGCCAGTTAAGACTCTCCTTACCTCTAAGGCAGTGTGAAAGAGAGTTTGAGCCATGTGATCCCCTAGTTGCACATTCTGCATGGGCTCTGCTGTCTGCTCATTTTGCACGTAGAATGTGTGCTACAACATACAGAGTATCACTTAACATATCAAGGACTTAAAGCACCTCAGTAAAAACAAGGGTTTTGGTTGGGAAATAATGGCTACATAAGACAATATGTGTAACAGGAAAGACACTGTGGTGTGTTATGAAATTTTACAGTATACTACATTAAGCAAGCTGGCTAAAGTGGCAAACACTTCTGAATTGCATTTAGGAGGTGCCTAGTTCAAATCTCAGCTGGGACATAATCCATCCTTAGATTTTTCACAGTTTTACTCAGTCCCTACAGGCAAATTCCAGGACAGTACCATCAATTAGGTCATAGCTGGAAGAATGGATAGAACAAGGATACTGATGGGTTAGGGTTCACAATTAAAATTTAAAGGGAAGAATACTACAGAACAAGATTATTCAGACAGGTTATGGTAGGTATCATGAAGAAAGGAAAAAGCTGGCAAAAAGTCAAAGAGAGAAGACTGTGGGAAGAAAGAAAAGACTGGAGCCTTCTCATCCATGAACTCATATAAAACAAAAACAATGTTACAAGAAAATTATATACCTGATGCACACACATCCTCCATACATATTTTGCTGATTCTGGATCAGGAAACTGGAAATGAACTGTTTCATCTGGCAGCTGACATTCTATCCCAAAGTTTCGCTTGTGGTTAATCACATTGGTTATATCTTTCCACCTGTAACAATTTTGAAGAATGTTACAAATACAAACAAAAAGTAAGCAACATAATTATTGAAGAAAGCAGTCTTCTGGGATGTGGCACCGTGTATATGTGGTGTTAACCGACGTTTTGGAGGGACGTGTCACAGACTGCTTGTACTGCTTCTCACAGTCTCTTCACTTGCGGATTTCTTATATTTTTCCTTCTACCCTGAAGATGGAGGCGATACGTTCCTCCGAAACGTCGGTTAACACCACATATACATGGTGCCACATCCCTGAAGACTGCTTTCTTCATAGTCACCACCGTGAAAACCTCAAATCTTACAACATAATTATTACTGATAAAAGCATATCATAACTGCGCATACAGCAATAATCATTCATATTTCAAAGTGCCTGCATTTCATTGGACATATATTCGGAAATCAGAGAGCGCCACTGCTCAGGCTCTTAGATATTAGCTTCTCACCATGGAAGGGGGGAGGGGGGGAGGACGAAGAAGAAGAGCCACAGCAGCAGAAGGAGATGAAAGTATAATTTTACTCACTTATAAAATTTTGAAGCCTGGTTATTTTCATAACCAACAATTATTCCCATCAAGGACACCCCTATGATGACATCAGCACCTGTTTCATCCTGAAAGCCAGTGATCACATTACTTTCAACTGTAGTTAAAACACATCATCATACTATTTCAAGAAAAAATGTAAAGCTGCCCCTGTGCATGAAGATCAATGGGGGACGGGAGGTACAGCTCAACTATTCTTGACCTTGGCCCTAGATGGAGATGGGTGGTCAGCTTCAGTCCCTGGCCACTTTACACCTGGAGAAACAGCCCCATTACCAATTGGACAGGAGACTGACTGGCCCCACAGAAGGTCCTGGACACTGTGCGGCATAGAAAAAATCTCTAATTCTGCCGGGAATTGCACCCTGGCCATCCAGCTTGTAGCCTGTCACTAAACTGACTAAGCTATCTCAGCTCCAAACATTTCAAGTAAACAGCATTGTTTAACCACAGAGGAGTCTTACATATAAAATTATTACACTTCATGGAAGAAAATTTTAAGGAAAACTAACTAATCACTTAT